GGGCTAGCGGGGCCCCCAATGCCCCGCCCCCCCAAACCCCCCCCCCCCAGTGTACCCACAGGGAAATCACCCACCAGCTCAACATGCACCAGTGCAGAGAGTCCCCAGCGTGGGGCTGGGGTACAAGCATGGGGCCAGCAGCCCTCTGTGACGCCCAGCCCTGCACGAGGCAGGTTTGCCATGGCTAACCACATTGTGCCATGATTGCTGCATCCCAGGGCTGCATCCTGCTGTTCCACCTCCCACCCCTGCCTGCCCACACCTCCCCACCCGCACTGAGTCACCCAGCGGGTGTTTTCCAGCACACGCAGCACCAGCTGAGGCATGGAGGGCACAAGCTGCCAAGCTGGGGGGGATTCAGGGCCCATCTCAGCAGGCTTCAGTTATTCTTGAGACAGCACAGACGCCCAAGGATCCCCCACTTCACCTCACAGTCCCCCTTTCCCTCTCCCTCCCCATTCACCCAGTTACCGCAAAGGGTCGGGCTGGTCCGGCTGTGTCCCCTCGGGCTGCTCCTCTCCATCTGGTCCAGCCAGGAGTGGCTTTAAGTGCTGGAGGGAGGTAGGGGCTGCCTGGCCCCCCCCTCCCTGTCCCAAGACCCCGCAGGGGTTAGTGCCCATGGGATGGCAGCTGGAGCAGGGAAAGCACCTGTGTGTGTATGTAACAGGGGATTCCCGGCTGGAGCCAGACTAAGACCCCCTGCGCCGGCTGACGGGGCGGGGGTATGTGGGGGTGGGCTGGCTGTGCCACATACCACTGCCAGCACCCCCCTAGGACCATTTCCCAGGGCCCTTTTCCCACCCACACTGGGATGAAGGAGACAGAGGGTCAGATTTCCACACCCAGCAGCTGGGGGGGAAAAGGGGGATGACCCTAAATGGATCAAAGCTGGAATCTGCCTCCTCCCAGCTCTTAGAGCTTTTGTAGGCTTCAAAGCTGGATTTAGGGGGAGCAGCACCCCAGTCCCTCCCCCCAAGTTCTGTAAGCATTTGACTCGCTGCTTTGCATGGCTCTGCAATTTTTGGCTGCTCCTTTGGGACATCAAATGTGTTATCTCAATGTGGTTTGGATCCTGCTGGGGGTTCAGAGCTGCTGTACCCCCTTGGCTCATCCCAAGATGCCCAGTCTCCTCCCACAGCCACCCCAGCTGCCTTGCTGGGAGACACACTGGGTTCAAACATGATCTTAGGGTTAATCCTGAGCAGAATGAGTTGGCTGTGCCCATCTGGGGTGGCAGAGGGGTCCCTGTGGGTACAGGGTACCACTGCAGCAAGATCCCCAAAAAGCATGTGCCTGCCCGAGCACAGGGTCTGGGGGGTTGTGCTGCTGCTGTCACCTCCCAGGATGTGCAGCAAGTGGCCTGGCACATTGCTGGGTGGCTCCAGGCAGCCAGGAGCTCTCCCTCCTGGCTGTCTGCCTCCATGTCAGCTGCCACCCACTCCTGCCTGGCTCCAGTCCTTTTCTCCCGGTGCTGCTCCAGTGGACTGGGACCTCCAGCCCCATTATATCCCCTCAGCTTCCACGGCTCAGCATGCGAGGAGGCAGAAATCAAAATGGGAGGAAAAACATTAAAAACTAGAGGCTTTATTCCAAAATACAAAAGCCCCCAGGAGAGCAGAGCCAGCCCCAGCCCAGCATGGCCCAACACCAGGAAGAGCCAGGCACCTTGTGCGAGTTTAGCAACGGAGCTGCTGGAGCAGTGGCACAGCCCAAAGCACCAGTCTGGGTCCCACAGTGTGGGGACAACCAGCACCAGGGCCCCGGCAGCAGCAGGAGAGGACACATCATCCTGCAGCAGCAAGTTACCCCCTGGGAAGCAATGCTCTCCCCAGAAATACCAGAAAGGCATCACTTCCCACCAACCAAGCCATCCATCCTTCTGCCTCTGGTCACTCGAACTTGGCCCTGGGTGGGGCTGGGTACCCACGGATGTTGAGCAGCAGGAGGAGGCCGAGGCAGAGGGTGGCAGGGGCACACATGGCCAGGGGCTCCTGCAGCACCAGCAGCGTGTAGATGGCACCTGGGTGAGGAGCAAAGCGTGGGAACTGGGGTCCCTGCCCAGGCATCTCCCAGGACCCCGCGCAGGGTGGGGGGCTCCCGCGGGCTCTCACCGATCATGATGACGCTGAGGATGAAGTTGCTGATCTCCTGCAGGAGCTGGGGGCCAAACGCCAGCAGCAGCCCGGCCACCACCTCCACCCAGCCCACCACCTCCAGGTACTGGCCCGGCTCTGGCACAAAACCAAAGTCCTTCAGGGGAAAGACCTCGGCAAACCGCACAAATTCCAATTTCTGGGAAGGGCAAGAGGGGAAGGAAGCAGCTCTGAGCCCTGGGGCCCCTCCGGCAGGGTCCGCTCAGCGCTGTGCCCAGACGGGCTCAGTCCCTCCTGCAGAAAGGCTCAGCCCAGCACCCCAACTAGCTCATCCCTCCCCCGAGGGCTCAGCCCTGCACCCCAACTTGCTCATCCCCCCCCGAGGGC